AATTTAAAAAATAGAATAAAATACAAAAAAATGTTTGATAAATAATAATGTCTTTAAAAATATTTAGAAATTTATTTGAGTAACTAAATACTAAAAATCGTATTTAAAATAAACATTCAGGAATTTATTAAGAGAAATATTAATGCAATTTCCTTTTTTTTTTTATTTATTTTTTAGAGTATATATTAATATTTAGTTTTTTTTTAACATATTGCTTCTTAAATGTCTATAAAGAAATAAACAATAAATAATAAATAAATAAACAAAATTTCAGTCTCTAATCTCAACCTTCTGCTCATTGCTCTTTTCTATATCTATTCGATGTTTTCTAAACATTCACATCTTCCAACGCATCTCACCCAGCATAAAGTTATATATCCTTGCACTAAATATCCTACAATGCGCTGCTCTCATTTTCGCGTTTGCCTCAATATAAAAATTAACGAAAATAAAAAAAAATATATATAGATGTATTTCAGTTCTCGATTTTTTCCTTTGTTCTTCTGTACGGCAAAAAGAAAGATTGTTTGTCATAAATTTTTGGTAAAGATTTTTGAGTTTTTGGTCCCGTTTGGCCTTTTTGTTATGTTTGTGGCAAAGAAATGGTTCAAGAACTTATTTCCTGAACATATACATGCATACAATATATGGATGTTTATGCAGATTTTTATGGGCTCGTAGCGGCGTATGGTTCGTTCGCGGAATTTTCATTTGCTGTCCATGTCCTGTCGCGCATTCCGAGGACCGTATATTAGGAATGTAGATCAAAAACTTTTTTGTTTTCATTGTTTCATTTTTTCGCTGCGCTAGTTTTTTTCCCCGAAGCCAGAAAAATGCCGAGTGCCGACTGCCGACTGCTCTAATTTTTTAATTCTTCACGGGTTTTTATGGCCGGGCCGGAAAAACGTTTTGGAAAACATGAAAACGCACAGAGCGCAAACGCTGTCTCACAAGGTTACTTAGCACCATTTATATGCGCATATATAGAGTAGTCTCCCGGCTTTGCCTACTTACCTGTTAATTGTGGCCATAATTCAGTGCGCAGCCACGTTTTTACCAACTGCCCAGGCATATTTTTATTAGGGCGTGCCCTAAGCGCATATTACGATCGTAAATCTATCGAACTGAAGGCAGCTATTGAAAACTACAACCAGAACTAAAAATTGACAAATTATTTAATTTTTTTTAATTGCTAAAAATGGAATTCAATGAATATATATATATAAATTATTAATT